TTCATGGCTGCTTGCACCAATGGCAGTTAGTGCTGTTAAAAAGGTAATTTTTTATTTGGGTTATTACGCGTTTTGTGCTGTGTAACAGCAGTACAAAACGCATATTGTTACGGGGTTGTCTGTGTTGTGTGTTTGTTGTATGCGTTTGTGTCCGCAGCAACTTGTCCGCAACTTTCAACTCGGGAACCACAAAAGCTAGGAAGCTGGAAATTTAGGGTAACGTTTCCCGCAGCAACTTGTCCGCAACTTTCAACTCGGGAACCACAAAAGCTATGAAGCTGAAAATTTAACGCAGCAACTTGTCCGCAACTTTCAACTCGGGAACCACAAAAGCTAGGAAGCTGAAAATTTAAGGGGTGTCCGCAACTTTCAACTCGAGAACCACAAAAGCTAGGAAGCTGAAAATTTAGGGTAATGTTCCCCACCCACGTGTGACTGTCCGCAACTTTCAACTCGGGAACCACAAAAGCTAGGAAGCTGAAAATTTAGGGTAACGTTCCCCACCGCAACTTTCAACTCGGGAACCACAAAAGCTAGGAAGCTGAAAATTTAGGGGAACGTTCCCCACCTGCAACTTTCAACTCGGGAACCACAAAAGCTAGGAAGCTGAAAATTTAGGGAAACGTTACCCACCCACGTGTGACCCCATTCAACTCGGGAACCACAAAAGCTAGGAAGCTGAAAATTTAGGGTAACGTCCCCCACCCACGTGTGGCCCAGCAAATTTAAATTCAGCTTCCCCGTACCCCCGGGTAACGCTTGCAGCCCCTGTGAAAGTTTTTTACGGGTAAGTTAATATCTCGGGAACCACGGAGTCTAGGAGGCTGAAATTTTTCTGAAAGTTTTTCACGGTAAGTTAATATCTCGGGAACCACGGAGTCTAGGAGGCTGAAGTTTTAGGGTAATGACCCCCTGTCTGCCCTCACCTTGCCCATTCGAATTCAGCCTTCTCTTACCCGCGGGTAATAAGTACGGCCCCGTGAAAGTTATTCACGGGTAAGTCACGGGTAAGTTAATATCTCGGGAACCTCGGAGTCTAGGAGTCTGAAGTTTTAGGGCAATGACCCCCTGCCCACCCTCAACCTTGCCCATTCAAATTCAGCCTTCCCTTACCCGCGGGTAACGCGTACGGCCCTGTGAAAGTTTTTTATGGGTAAGTTAATATCTCGGGAACCACGGAGTCTAGGAGGCTGAGATTTAAGAATAATGATCCCCTGCCCACGCTCAATATTCAGCGTTCTCGCGCTCTCGGTTACCACCTACGGCCTCGTGAAAATTTTGGCGGATAAACTATTGACTCGGAAATCACGGAAAGG